TACAGGGTACAGAGGAATAAACCTGAGTCCTCAGGAATGGCGGCCCATGGGGGGTATCATGGGTGAAACAGTATAGTCTGCTATGTCCATGGTACTGCTCATGTCTATTACCACTTTCCATCAGAACGTAGCTTGTTTGTCATTCTAAGTTGCATAAAAAAAAAAAAAAAAAAAAAAAAAAAAAAAAAAAAAAAAAAAAAAAAAAAAATGTAAGTAAGTCAATTTCAGTAAAAAGTATTACAATATGCCCGCAATTCTAAAACAAAAATAATGAAAATTACTAGACAATTTTTTTTAATAAATATATTTAATTATACTTTGAGTCTTTTTTTTATACAACTTAGAATGGCAAACAAGCTGACGGCCCACCTGATGGAAAGTGGTAACCGTCACCTATAGACATGAGCAGTACCATATACAGACATAACAGAGTATATATGTTTCGCCCATGATACCCCCCATGCGTTGCTATTCCTGAGGACTCAGGTGTTATTCCTCCATACCCAGTAAATTCACGCCATATCCCATCTTCAAACTGAAACAATTCAAAAATCTATTTGTGCATATATATATATATATATATATATATATATATATATATATATATATATATATATATGTATATATTGGCGTACAAATAGTGTAGTTGGTAGCATACATACAGATCATAATCTTATCTTATTCAATTTAATACGGGGTTCAATATGGTATCGAGATCCGATCGACAATTTCAATTTCATTTTGACCTATGAAAAATTACATACATTAAAAAATAACATTAGGATATATTTATATACATACGAATAAAAGTATTAAGCACTTAAAAAATTATTATGAGTGTTACAATGTTTCTAAGAGTTTTTACAATACTTTTCATTAAAATTGTGTGTTCTGTGCCAGACGGAGTACAAACTGGGATTTGGGACACAAAATGAAATTTGCCTGCCGTGTAAACGAAAGTAGGGGCCATCGTCCGTTTATCAAATAAAACGCGATCCCGCTTTTTCGGTGACCCCGTTGTGTAAACATGCCACTAATTGTGAAGAGGCTTTTCAATTATTATGTTACGTTTAGGAGATATTGAAAATTTTGATAGAGTAGCAGTTTAATGTATTGCTTCACTTTCCGATAGTCGCAGATTCAAGGGTACAGTGATAGAAAGAATGCACATAAAATAAACATTTATGTTTTTACTATACATGCTTTTAATACGTGGAAAAGGCAATGTAAAACAAAATATTCAACATATTAAAAATATTTTCAAAAACAAAAAAAAAATAACTATTACAAATTATATATAATATGTACTTGACACAGCGCATTATCTTATATTTTCATCGTAGGTAACACTATAAGTGAGGCATCGTGGTTAGTTGATAGTTTTATTTGTAGCAACCCTGTGCAATTGTAAAGTCAAATATTATTTTTTTAATTCAAAATGTCTATTTATTCTTTTGTATGCTTATTAGGTGTGGGTTTAGCAACCCTAAAAGGTACAGGTAAGTTAACCCATTAGAAGTCAAATAAAAAGTACTGTTTCTTTTTTTAAATATTCTTTATTTTCATACTAAAATAAGAGCATAGGAACACAAAATACGAAAAAATATTCAAATATAGTAATTTTCGCGAAATTATGAGGGTGTACTCAATTGAGTACACTGACCACCTCTATGTATGAAATATTTCTAAACACGCCTTTTCGTCACAAAGTGTTTTTAAGCACTTTTTACACTGCCAACGCACTCTTGAATGACAAAGGACACACCGCAGCTGTTTTTCAATTTTAGTAAGATAGTGTCCAACTCCATCTTGGGAAAGACCACAGATTATGACGCGATCTCTTTGATCACCTTGGCGTAAATAATATCGTGCGATGTGACGACGAAACATGAGTTGATCCATAGGATCATCGTTACTCATCACATGTAATCGCCAGGCATTAGCAATAGCTACGTCTAACATGTAAGTGAACAACACCCACCACCACTTTTTACACACAGCAATTCTATATAATGAAACAGACTGGTCCAGCTCATCCACACCTCCCATATTGTTGTTGTACGTTTGGAATAAACGTGGCATCGCCATGTCCATCTTTTCCTTCTTTATTCGACACTATTGACTGTCTCTAGCGGTTCAATGGTATCTTAGTTAGTTGCCATGGTACATACACTGTTATCTTTCCACCTTACCAATAAAAGTTCACCTTTTTTGTCAAACCTGTAGTCATAAGTGGCACGTTCTTTCTTTTTCATATCCTTTGTGCTAAGCCTAATAACTTCTTTAAATCAGAGGAATCCAGTTAAAATTCATGTCTATTGTGTTGATGAGCGTATAATTGGCTGTTTTCTATAATCATATCAATTATATCATTATCAATATTTTTTCCAACATTTGTACAGAATTGAGGCCTTTCAGCTGTTCATAAATAGTACTCTTCCTGTTGGACTTCAGTAGTACTCTTGGCCGGCAAAAGTATGTAGGGGAAACTTTCGCTATTCAGCCAATCCACTTCGAATTCGAGTCCGATCGAGTAGAATCTAGTCGTATTCTTTTTGACGCCAGCGGTTTTTCATCACTATCGTCGTACGAGCTGTCTTATGTATCGCTATCCTTTCGATATGTAAATATCTCAATAGTACCAGGTATGTCTTGCGGCATGGGACACATATCCTCAAAATCATCTGTCACCGCACTTGGATCAGGTGGGATGATTGCCAAGTCATATTTACCCTTATCGCTTCCTTCTAAAACAGCTTCAATCGCTGCTTCAAGCCTCTTGTAGCTCGTTCGAGTTATAAAATGCTTTTTTTTTATTGTTAGAAACCTGAAAAAAAAGCGGTTATTTTACTTACTTATGTTGTCTGTACTCAACCGAGTACACCAACATTTACATGGCTCTTGTTTTATATCAGTTACAAGTAATGATTGCATTATTGTTTATAACTTATTCTGATACGTATTTTATATAATGAAATGAAAAAAATCAACTTATAAACAGTAATTATTAGAAAATAACTTAAATAATGAACTCACCTCCACAGTGTCTTGATGATACAACTTATTACTTTTTATCATAAAAAATCAACTACCCTCGTAATATTCGTCAATATACTTGCACAGTTGATTGATAAAGTAAAACAACAAGGTAGGCTATGATAACTTTACGCGATCTGTAACTGGCACTTAAGTATATGCCTGTACTCAAATGAGTACAGTGACTTCTAATGGGTTAAGTATATTACATTAATTTGACATATCATAAGTGTCTGTAAATGAACATGTATGAATATAATTTATCATGTACTTATACTAAGTGTAATATTTCCAAGAAATTTATATATTGGTTTGAATTTTCAATTTCACTGTCTGTGATTTTTTAAACTCGTTTAAGATTTAAACAGAAGAATATTGTATTTGAATATATATGAATAATTAATAATTATTGCAGACCTTTCTCATTGTTTTAATTTTGTTTTTTTTTTTTTTACAGACTGCTTGTTTAATTTAGGCAACCAAATAATATTATCTGATGTATAAAATATAGTAAATGTAAAGGTAAAACTTAAAACAACTTGATAGCTTAGAATGAATAGCATCCTAGTAGCTTTGGTAACTAATAGTTATCACCAATTTTTTTAATGTTAGGTATACCTAATTTTGATTTTAATAATTTAAATTTTTAGGTACCATATATAAACGAAACAAAAGAAGTAGTTCAGTTGATAGTATACTATGAAATTATGTGTGATTCTTGTAGAATTTTATACTTACGACAATTGAAAAGGGTGAGAGAAAAAATAATCCTTACGTAAATATTATCTCTCACCCATTTGGAAATACTAACGTAAGTTTTTAATTATTGGTGCTTGATGAACATATATATTTTCAACTATTTTAAAACTAAAAAAAAAGAGTTTTAGAATGTAAGGTGTCGTATATACTTATATATGATTTAAATAGAATCATACAAATTTTATTAAATATTAGGGTCACTGAACAAAATTACACCAATATAACATCAGTATTATACTATTAGTATTGTATTATTTTATATGTTTATTGGGGGAATGTGGCAAATAAATTTCATCTATAAATAATAAATGCATACAGTAGAGTCGACTCAGAGATTTAAATTTTATTCTAAAGCATAGTATGAATTAAACTCTTTGAATATTATAAATGTAAAAGTGAATTTTTTTATCTGTTATCCCTTGGACCCGGTAATGCGAAAAAGTAGTAATGAAAAATTTATTTATATTTTTTTATCCGTCGCTTCGTTCCTTGTAACCAAATCAATATATTATTAGGCTGGGATAAAAAATATATTTATTTATTACACCTATATATTTTTTCATTGCATATAATACGCGTATACTAAATTTTCTGAGAACTAGTTAAGCTATTAAAGTTTCCAACACAGATACTCACTTTCACTATTTTACAGTTATAATATAAGGATTTGAATGAAAACTAATTTAAATTTATTTGGTATGGTTCTTAGGTAATAATAAATCATAATAAAATTTAAATTTTATTATGTCAAGAAGATTGTATAATGCCATTATTACCACATTTAAATCTAAATTATTAAAGTACCCGAGTTAAGATTGCATATACATTTTTAAAATATACAAATATTAGAACCTTGGTATATTACTACCCACGCACAATGGCCCAAATGGGAGGCTAAGTGCGGAAAACAGAGTCTTTCTTACATAAGTACTACTACCCAAGGATTACTACTCATAATATGACCCATAACATATACCTATGTATGTAAGAAAATTAGCCGTACCGAAAATATAATAAAAGTTAGCAAATTTTTATTGTAACGAATTGTCCTTTTATTGTAATGTCTTTTTTATTATGTTATTAAATGTAGTTATGTGTATTTGAATGCATATTATTATATTCTGATAAGAGAAGCATGTACACAAAACAGCAATAATACATTTGTATTATGTGGTCATTGCGTGTATAAGATAACGATGAAAAATCTGTAAATATATAAATAACATGCTAAATATTCATAGTTATCACTAGTAGTGTGAGACCGCGGTCACTGTACAGAACACTAAAGTTTTGATTATAAGAAGAAATTAGTTACAATGTATACGAAATACATATTGTGTTTTGTTTACATATTCGTTTACATAAATACACAGGAAGTGGGTGAGTATTAATAACTTATTCATATATTGAAATAAACTCAATAATTTTTAATAAAATTGTATAATACAGAAGACGTCTCAACACGTTAATAACAAGACAATTCCGACAAAGAATATCTGGGAAGAACGGTTAAAAAATAAGTAAAACCAAAAATACGTCCAGAATTTTTTTTATGTCAAAATTTAACGGAATCTACATAGTTTGTCAATTTAAAATAATAATGAAATAATTTTCAATAGGTATATTTATGTAACTATATAAAAACATTCTTATAGAAAATTATACCTAGTCCAGCCATAGGTTCCGTTACAAATTAAAATGCATTTTTTTAAATAATAAAATACAATAAATGAGTCCTCAGGAATGGCAACGCATGGGGGGTATTATGGGCGAAACTGTATACTCTGTTATGTCCATGGCACTGCTCATGTCTATAGGCGACGGTTACCACTTTCCATCAAGTGGACCGTCAGATTGTTTGCAATTCTAAATTGTATAAATAAAAAATACTAAAATTTATATTAGTCTCAGCAAAAAATAAAAAATATTCTATTCAAAATTGGCTTTTATAGGAGCCTTTAATCTGTTTGGCCACGAATCTATGGATTTATGCACTGTTTCACTATTTTACGCACAACGGCCCATATTAGAGACTAAGCGCGGAAAATGGAGTCCTATTTCACATTTTGCACTGTTTCCAAGAGAAATTTCGCCACTGCTTGCTCCAAAGACTTTTTAAGAGACTCAATGTCGCCGTGTCGTTTAAATCAGTCCTCTAAAACTAATCATAACTTGAAGTCTAAGGGGTTGATATCTGGGCTAGATGAAGGCCAGTCTTCAGCTTTTATAAAGTCCGGAACGTTGGTTTCAATAGTTGGTTTCAATGGTTGGTTGCTTGTGACCAGGTACAGAGTCCTGCTGGAAAGTCCACGGAATATTTTAAAAAAATGTATTACTGAGAGGTTTCACAACGCGATCCAAAACTGTATCTTGATACAGTTTCGCTGAAGTTTTCACACCTTTTTCACAAAAATGGAGTTTTGTGACTCCTTGATAAAAAAACACGCCCCACCAAACCATCACTGACGCAGGGTGATGACCACTTTGTACTTTTCCGACCACTTGAGCAACTCCTTTAGAATTGTAAGCGTACACTTTATCATTTTGATTATTGTAGTATTCTTCAATCGTGATAATTTTTTCATTTCTGTGCCTTTCACCTGCGTATCGCAACAGAAAGCGTTTTGATCGATCCACTCTCTTTAATTGTAAAGATTGATTTAGGGCATATCCTGTATATCACATACGTGACAGAGTCCTAGCGGGAATCTTCATTTCTCGCGATAAAATTTTTGCTTCGTAATAAGATTTTGACGAATTCTGGCTTTAACAGCATTAACAGTCCTTGTAGTTCTAACAGCCCGCGGCCGCCGCGATCTTTTCTGGTCTTTGACAGAGAAAGTGTTGTTGTATCATACTCGAAAAAGCAGTAGTTTCAAACAATGAAAATTCTTATATTGGGATAAAATGAGAAAATAAGTTGTTTATTTTTATATTATATTATATATATATATATATATATATATATATATATATATATATATATATATATATATATATACGGACAGATCACACAGATTGAGCTAGCCCCAAAGTAAGTTCGAGACTTGTGTTATGGGATACTAACTCAACGATACTATATTTATAATAGATACATATATAGATAAACATCCAAGACCCAGGCCAATCAGGAAAAGATCGTTTTCCATCATGACCTGGCCGAGGATCGAACCCGGGGCCTATAAATAATAATAATAATAAAATAAAATAAATAACTTATTTAAATATATATAGTTAAAATAAATATTATTATATTATAAAACTCATTATTTATTTTATTGTTTACAGAAATTGTGTCGAATGCTTTGGGAAACGCTAATGTAATAATTAAACTGATTGAGGAAGATTTAGAGATAGCTAAATATAAGGTAAAATTTTAATTTTAATTTAAATCAGTGTTATATAATCAAATACAAAAATTATCTTCTTCTTCTTCTTCCTACCGTTATCCCAATTATTATATGGGGTCAGCTTAGAATGTTTTTTATCCATATTACAAAAAGATTTGGCTTAGTTTTATGACCGACCTCTTGTTGCTTGATGCAATATACAAAAATACTTTAAAATATTAAAAACATTTAATTATTGCACATTTATTGCAGATTTTGAACACGAAGGAGAAGAAAGTCAATATAAAGCTGTACTACGAGTGTTTATGTCCAGACTGTCGACGATTCGATAGCAAAGAATTGAAGAAAGTCGTTGAACGATTAACTCCGTATCTGAAAATTGAAACATATCCGTATGGAAACGCAAAGGTTTTAAGAATATAAAATAATATCAAAATACAGTATATACTGTATATATTATATTATTCGCCATGTGTGCCCCAGCGTAGAAGAGGCCACTCCTTCCTTTTCCGAGGATGTCGTAAGAGGCGACTAAGAGATGGGCAGTAGCGTCCGACTTAAAACATCTCCAAAGCCCAACTGCGGTTGCCAATCCGCCTGCCAAGTATGGCAACTACTGGCAAAACTCCCCTTATGGAGAAGGCTTAAGTCCAGTAGTGGGCAGTTAACGGTTGAAATAATTATTATTATTATATTTATAAGATTATTATTATTATGTATTAAGAAGTATATGAAAAAAGTTGATCAATTTAATAAATGCCCACTATCGCTGATTTCATTTTAAGTTTCCATGACATCGTAAATATACTTAATTCCCTATAGTTTAGAAATACAAGTTACAAAACAAAACTCGTGAATAATTTTATATAATATTTACTTAATATTATAAATGTAAAAGTGAGTTTGTTTATTACCTTATAGCACCTTAACAGCTTAACCAATTGCTATAAAGTTTGGAGAAGGATATAGTTTAGTTCACGTTCACTAATGATATCCCGGTCACGTGGACGAAGTCGGCTAAAAACTGGTAGATTATAATTATAATAATATAAATAAATAAGCATAATTTATATATTTTCAGACGTCACATATCAATGGCAAAATAGAATTTAAATGTCAGCATGGACCTAAAGAATGTTACGGGAATAAATTACATGCGTGCTCTTTAAATATAATCAATAATGCGACAGACGCCTTATTGTTTAATATATGTATGACGGACCCTGAGCACCCATCTGGTGGATCAGACGATCCTACTGCTGATGCGGTATGTATCTATATTACATTAATTAAAACTTAGTAATCTTATAAATGTGAAGGAGTGTTCGTTGTCTCCATAAATTTATCTGTGTCTATCTTTTATGGAGATGAACATAGAGTACTTTTATCCCGATCAATCAATATATGCTGGTTATGCAAACGACGTGGTAGGTGACATTGTACTGTATTATACAGTACACATTTTATAAGTATAATATTTCCAGATGGTGAGGAAGTAAAAATATAAAGTGGCAACACTTCTCCCCATACGAATGTATAAAGTTCTTAATTTAATAATAATTATATTATTAAATAATTTCAGTGTGGAGAAAAAATGGCAATTGACGCTAAGACCATAAAAGAATGTGCTAAAAGTGAAAAAGGAAATGAGCTTCTCGAACAATATGGTATAGAAAGTGATAAGGTCCACTATAAATATGTTCCATACGTATTAATTAACGGAAATGAATGGACAGGAAACAACTTTATGAAAGACGTATGCGCAGCTTTCTCAACTCCACCTCCTCCATGTGTTGAAGAAAAAAGTCAGAATGAAAAATTTTTAAATGTAGCGGTGTAAATCATAAAAACAATTCTAATAAATAAATATATTTGTAAATTTAGAATTAATTTCTTCAGAATTATAACAAAAAATTCAATGAATTAAAACCTACCATATTTATTCGATACTATAACAATGTTATAGTATACTAATAGTATAAGGTAAAATTTTATAATACCTTGATTTAATACACTTCTAATATGAGCTAAACTAAATCTGATGAAACATCTCTAACATACAATTAAATAAAATTTTAATATAAAATATATATAAAAAATACAAAATATAAAAAAGTGAGAGGGCAAAATTGCAACAACAAGTTGATTCAGTTGTAATGAAACAGTAAGCATACGTGTACAGCAGTGCTTAATGATAGCAGGTATTTTATTTAAGTTTGAATATCTCGTGCAGTCTTATGACAATTTATTCCTTACAAATGCTAATACGAGTATGTAAAGAAAATCATGAACTTTAATTGCATATGAAGATATATAAACACCTATATTAAGGTTTTAAAAAATATAAGATCACAGAATGAGATATGGATATTAATTCATTTATATTATGATCTAGCTGCTCTCCTTGACTTCCGGTTTCCCATTATGGATGTATTAATGAAGAAGATAAGACCAAGTTCTTTTTATAATAGATACAATAACAGACTGATAATACACTTGATGAAAAGTGGTAACCGTTGCTTATAAACATGGACACTACCATAAAGGTCACAGAATGCACAGTGACGCCCATGACACTCGTCATGTGATACCATTTTTGTACAACTACTACAAATCTTCCCTTTTACTAAACCAATTTTTTCATTTTCCATCCGATCTTTCAAATATTTTCGCTCTTACAAACCGAACACAAAAGAAAAAATTAAATCAAATAGGTTCAACTGTTCTAAAGTAATGCACTAATATACATTAGGCAATATTTTTTTATTTATTTTAATAGTTTATTTATTAAATATATAATAATATTATTTATTTATTAAATATAATATAATATTAGTTTATTTCAAGTATGTAAACAGAACTTGATCATACCTATACTTGGCTTGTAAGAGACCTGTCTTGAAGACAGATTAGATTAAAGGTTGTTCAGGGTTTGCAACAGTAACGTGACACCCTAGTGTTTCAGGCGTCTATAGGCTGCAGTGACTGTTTACCATCAGACGGACTATATATTTATTTGCCACCTTCGTATTATAAAAAAATATTTAAAAATTATATAATAATGTAACCACTATTTACGCATAGATTTTTGAGAAGTTGCTGGCCAATGGTGAGATTCATTGACTATTTATTACTAAACCACAACTACTGAATGTATAAAAATAATTTTATAAATCAAAAAAAGAGGCTGAAAGTTTGCATGTTAATTTTAAACTTGAAACCTAAATCTTTTATTTAATCTAAGTGTGTTAAGGGACACGCGTATTCTGGGAAATTTTGTATTATCTTCTAAAGAAGTTTACTGAAACAAGAGGAGAAAGTTTGTACGAGAGACCATTTTTGTTAGTTGAAATTTCAGTATTCTTAGAAAATCTACCCTGAGAGTGAAATCAGTGATGTATAAAAGGATGGTGTAAATCTGAAATTCAAAAATGTTTTCATTCTGATGCCTTTTTGGCATTAAATTTGCCATCTTAGTAGTATTTAAAACGGATAATTTAATATATTTTATACTGATCAATAAAAAATATTAGTTACGTGGCTAAGTTTATCCCAGGAAAAAGAAGAATCGTTAGTAATGGAGACTAACGACCCCATTGTTAGCAATTTACTCTGTCAAGTCGACCTCTAAACGGTTTCCCCTGGAATTGAATTCGTCATGACGGGCCAACTGACCTGCTCTTATCCTCACCTAATCATCCCTAAATTGTGCCAATTTAGGAGGTACTCGTTTTATACTCTTCCCTTGGTATCCCTAAAAACATGCTTTTTACTTTTTCTGGATGTCTACATGAATGTAGTTGTCAATTTAATGTCATATAAACATGTAATTCTACTATTAGATGGATATTGCATCTTTGCCTTATATTAGTGAAAAAAATTTTTTTTAATGAATGATAATGGAAAGGTAATCTCTAAAGCCGGGGACTATCGGTATACGCAGTCGAGGCATAGTTTTTTTTTATAAAGTAGTAATTTCTGTCGCTATCTTTGAAGCGACAACTTTCGCATAGTAAGAGATGATAGGTATGATGAAAGCAAGTCAGTAAGCCTAACATGACGAATATCACAATAATTAATCATGATAGCTTTTAGGAGGAATCGCGTGGAGGTGAACCTGATGGGATATACTGCTATAAATAAGGTTGTTAAGACTCCATTACTAACAATCCCTTTCCCCCTACCTGTAAGCTATATACATATTATAAATAGTTATCATTGGTATACTAAATATATAACATTTTTTTAAGCTTATTAAATTTACAAATATTTTTATTTCTTGGAATGAAATTACAAGCATATTTTTAAAATAATAAACATTTTAATACGCCTGTATAAATTCATAATCAGTTGCAGTACAACACAAAATTTTTACATAAATATGGCAGATCATAGAGTTGCATGTATTTTAATATTAATTGCGAGTGTAATAAGCATAGCTCGTGCATATTATTCAAGTATGTTATTTTTCAATTTTATTTAATAAAGGTTTTACATAACATATAGTGCATTCCTGGTCTTAAATAAGATACAATATTGCTAACTAAAATATAGTTCGTTATATTAGTTTTGGTCTTATTTGTAATTACCGCCTTATAACAATAGGTATTATTGTCAAGTCTCATCTAAATAAATGTTTACATTATATAATAATTTGGTTAATACAAGGATCTATAGGTAATTTGTGCTGTTTATAATTTGTATTCATTTGGTCACAATAAATAAATTAATCTTATCTTATTCTCTCAAAAACTCGGCAATTAGACAATGAAATTTTTGCCGATCTCAGAAAAATTTATGGGGATGATGCTGTGAAGGAACCAACCGTCCACAAGTGGCTAAAAAGATTCAGAGAGGGCCGATATATATGTTGATTGTTTTTTTCGATCTTGTTCGGGGGATTGTCCACACAGAATTCGTCCCTCCAGGCCAGACAGTTGATGGATTTACAATTAATAAAATTTACGTCGATGTACCTTAAAATTGGCTCAGACGCTATCAAAGACTCGTGTGGCACGAGTCTCGTCCTTATTGGCGACAAATGTTAAGCAACTTGTTATTTAATCACGAATTGATTCCGGAACTAGCCCACACCTCTCTTGTTGTCCGTGAGTTTTTTATTAAATTAAAATTCCTTAATATATCTTAAACCGAATTATCGATATTCGACCGGATTTTTTTGATATCTTCAACCGTGATGATATTTTAACCAATTGTATCCCGAATTAAAACCAAATTGGTACTTCAAAGTCGTTTGGGGCTGGCATTGAACCAGTTGGACATAAATGAGATGAAAAAAAGCTACGACATGGAATAACATGGAGAATAACACCTACAACCAGAGGACTTTCAACGGATGGGCCTTCTCACAGTGGAAACAGGCGTCTGTTATGCACAAGTGCATTATGTCATAGGCGGGGAGTTACTTTGAAGGGGATAAAATTGATTTACCTGAATAATTGAAAAATAAAATTTTTAAAAAACTTTTATACGTACTTTCCGCGAACATATATAGATACACATCGTATAGTGCAGCCTGGTCTTAAATAAGATACAATATTGCTAACTAAAATATAGCATTCGTTATATTATTTTGTGTACTTATTTGTAATTAATTCTTATAACAATAGGTATATTATAATGTAAGTCTCAGTAAATAAATGTTTACATTATATAATAATTTGGTTAATACAAGGATCTATAGGTAATTTGTGCTGTTTATAATTTGTATTCATTTAGTCACAATAAATAAATTAATCTTATCTTATTAATACAAAAAATGTAATTAGACAATGTCTGTGCGTAAGCAATATTTAAGAAAAATTTATGTGAGGGGTCTTAATAATAACATAAGAAGCCGAAACAATATTTTTTTAAAATTTTGTCTGTCTAGCTGTCTGTTTGTTTCGATATATATAGGATGTGGTTTTCACAGTTATAATCTTGAAAATCTAACTTAAAGCTTTATGTATGTTTTATACACCACACAGAAGTGGATACCTACTTCTAAAATTTAATAGAAAATAGAACGATTTACAATTAATATTTACTTACCCCGGTACGTATAATATTATCGCATGTACCTTAAAATTGGTATAATTAAATAAATTTCACTGAAGGGAGACTATACAAAAGACATGCATGTATAGAGAAAGTAGGAAAACATGTCTGTCTCTCTCATACTTAGTTACTTGGCGACAAATGTTAAGCAACTACTAGCTAGTTATTTAATCACGAATTGATTCCGGAACTAGTCGACCTTTTTTGATCTAATTACACGTAAGTTAAACTCGTAGTTATTAAATTAAAATACCTTAATATATCTTAAATTAGTTATGCAGAATTATCGATGAAAGCTCCCCGACAGCTTGATTTTTTCCGATATCTTCAACAGTGATCATCATATTTTAACCAATTTATACAAAACCTTAACGAATTATACTCAAAATTCATTTTGTAGATACCAGAGAAAGACTTACAAAGTCGTTTGCTTGGGTACCTCTGTCCCATTCGTGTTTCTACCGTGAACCAGTTGTGTTTGCATTATTATGCTTCGGTTTGAAGAGTGGGATATAGCGATGAATTTACATGGAATAACATGGAGGAATAACACCTGAGTCTTCAGGAACCGCAACGCATGGGGGTATCATGGGTGAAACAGTATACTCTGTTATGCCCATGGTACTGCTCATGTCTATAGGCGACAGTTACCACTTTCCATAGGGTGAGCCGTTAGTTCGTTTGTCATTCTAAGTTGCATAAAAAGAAAAAAAAATTAAAACCCTACAAAAATCTGTTTAGTAGTCTTTGGAATCATCGCGAACATATATAGATACACATACACATAGAAGCGGCAGGGGACTTTATTTTATAACACGTGATAATCGAATTTACTTACACACGTTATAAATACACGTGTGTAATTATTCTAAGAACATTCAACCAGTACATGGAAATATTCAGAACCCTTATATAGTTAGGACCGCGTTTGTATTACATGAGTAGGTACTTATGATGGTACTCGAAAATAGCCGAAAATACTCGATACAAGTGAAACCGATTTTTTTAAATAAAAAAAAAAAAAACTATAAACCTACTCTACCTAATCTGAAGTAATTACCCTTACCTATATAGAAGAACAGTACCATGGGCATCATACGCACTATGATGTTGCCTCTCTCTATGGTACTCTCCATGCCTTTTCGTTCCTGGGATCTACAGCGAAACACAGCGATGCAAGCGCTGTTGTTTTACGGCAGAAACACGAATGAGACAAATGTTTGAGAATTGAGACGAATTTTTATGCATAAGAAACTTTTAACAATGAATGATCAACAGAATTTTTTTCCAGAGAGGTATCAACAAGGACAAAAAATGCGTCCATTGTAAAAATGATAAAGAATGCTATGGAAATTTGTTGCACGCTTGTGCCCTTGATACTATTGGGAATATTATTAAAGCTGTTCTTTTCAACACCTGCATGATGGATTTTAATCATACCAATTATGGATCAGATGACGCTGCTGCTGATTATGTATGTTTTACATTAGGTGTGCCTCCCATATTACATATAATGTATAGTATTTTAAATAGTATGTTAATTAAGGAGATCCTTTCCTTAAAACTAGTTTTAGTATTCATTAGTAGGGATACAAAAATCCAGTACCTGTATCTGTACTATGTACTAGGTTTTGCCAGTAGTTGTCACGCTTGGTAGGCGGGCTAGCAACCGCAGTTAGGCTTTTGGTGATGTTTTAAGTGGAACACTGTTGCCCATCCCTCAACCGTTAAGTTCCCTTAGTCATCTCTTACGACACCCACGGGAAAGAAAAAGGTGGCCCCTTATATGCCGGGACCACACGGCAATGTATATTATGTCTGCTATATTACGTATGCAACCACACTAGATTTTTTCCGTTTAGTGCATAAAATCCAAACGAATATATATTTTCGACCAGTTTCGTCGTTAAGTCATTTCTAAAGCAATGTATATTTTGTACAATAGAAGAATAATTATTTCTTTAAAATAAGTATGAGTATGTATTGTAACAATCGGTAGAAGATGATCTACAGATGTGTGCACAATGTCAATATGTGTTCAAAGTTCCATCAAGTGCCAACAATATTAACATACTAAAAATGTTATTTGTTTATTTATTTAGTGTGGAATAAAAATAAATATAAACACAAAAACAATTAAGGATTGCGCTAATAGCCAAAAAGGAATTGACCAGTAAACTAACATTTATAGTAGATCATCAGCTACCCTATGTGATTGTTGATGCACTCAACTTTAGCCGTGGGTATGATGTTAAGCTGATGGTATGTACAATGTTTTTTTTTTTTTATACAACTTAGAATGGCAAACAAACTGGCGGCCCACCTGATGTAAAGTGGTAACCGTCGCCTATAGACATGAGCAGTACCATGGACATAACAGAGTACACTCTTTCGCCCAAGATACCCCCTATGCGTTGCCATTCTTGAAGACTCATGTGTTATTCCTCTGTACCCAGTAAATTCACGCTAATATATGAAGCTGAAGGTTGCGAGGAATACACACCCATAAAACAGATTTGAAATGTAATGTACCTATCTACATAGATGCAAGACTAGAGAAACAAATTGAATAATAAAATGTTTGCGTTTATTATTGTTGACTTTCTGTTACCATTTAATTCTACACTTATTTATGTTAACTTAAAAAAGTATTTGTTTCTATTTCAGTTATTTAATATCCGATGAAGTATAATATGTCTACTAGAATTTATTTATTTACTAATTTCTTCCCAGGATTTTGTTGGAAATATGTTGATTGACCGGGTTAAATAGTAGCTTACGTCGTATTCCATCATAATAAATTACCATATTTAATAACAACAGATGAAGTAGTACAGACACCAAGAAGTAACAACTCACTTTTAACTTAAATTTCAAAATTATCATGTTGCGAGTTTATTTGACATTGTTCAAAATTAATTATTGTGTACCAAAAATAAAATCGACATCCATAGTAACATAGTAAGAAATAAACACAGGAATAAATACCTAATAATATACCTATTGCAATAAAAATCTTAAAAACAGTTTAGATGTAACAAAGATATTACATAATATATACACACACAAAAATAAGGTCTTAAGTATATCCTCCCTTTTTTCTGTCTATTGTGACGAACAACTAACCCATTTTGCATTTAAAATCTAATTAATATTAAGATAATGGCGAGGTTAACAAACTCATTCTAAAATTTCAGATAATGTATAAATATGCTAGTTTAGGTAAATAATTAAATAAGTAAGATAAATTATCAATGCGCACGACAGTATCCAGGACAAGTTCTATACCAAAACATTCGTTATTTATTTTCTTCAAATTGTCTTATGACTTCGATTCCAAACTATTACAAACAGACAGGTACATTATCATCATCATCATCATATCAGCCGTTAACTATCCACTGCTTAACATAGGCCTTATAGGCCCATAAAGCGGGAACTTGCCGATAGTTGCCGAATGAGGCGGCTGGCAATCACAATTATTTGTTGGGTTTAGTGATGTTTTAAAAAGGACGCTACTATCTATCCCTCAACCATTAAGCTCCCTTAGTTGCTTCTTACGACTATAAGGAAAAAGGGGTGGTCCATTCTATGCCGGGACTACACGGCAACTAGGCACATACAAAAACCTAATATTGGAATAATAATTGAATAATTAAGAGCCTGTATTTAGCTATACAAAATTATGTTCTCTCTTATTTTTTCAAACCTCCAATACATTATCCTACTCTTATATATAATTATATAATATTGGCGGAAGAGTTATAATAAATAATTTCAAGATAACTTGTCCTATGTTTTAATAAAAATTTTCTTTGTGGATTTTTATACCTTATCAAATGGTCATAGGCTATTAAAACACATACATTCTGAAATTGTCACCAAGTCTACATTGTAATTCTTCAAAGGACTTCAGCTTTAGTTGAATATTGAGTGTGCAACAATGTATTATTATAAGTTGATATTTTTACAATTGATATTTAGTTTTACAAATGGATACCATACAAAATTGTCGAATGGTAAGTAGTACTTAAAATACACATTCATACTAAGCAGACTGAAATAGTTTAAATTAATTTAATTTAATTAATATAATTAAATTCTGTTCCAAAAAAAGACCATCCTTTAATTAAAACAAAACAAATTGTTTTGTTTAAAAACTAAACTACTGAACAGATTGTGATAAAATTTCTATAAGACCAATCTGGATATATATTCTTTCAAATAAAAAAAGAACTTTCCAAATTGGTTTACAACTGACGAAGTTAAATGTAGTTAGTATTAAGTAATAAACATTAAAAAACATACAACCTAAAAGAACTTCCTTCTTTTGAAGTTGGTTAAAAATTCATTTATTTTAAAAATACATATAAAGGGGTTAGGAGAAAAAATAATTTTGTAAAAAGTAATGTACCTATTTAAAAGTAACGTACTCGTAGCCTTTCTTTAGAACTTTTATTAACGACTAGCGTAGACGTAGACAGTCTAGCTTCGCATGGATAGATAGAACTTAAAAAAATAATATATAGCTTTGTTAATCGCTAAAAAGCTAACTTTTTATATGTAAAAGAATTTTTAAAATCGGTTAATTAGTGTTTGAGTTTATCCATTGTAAACAAACAATAAAATCTTTCTTACTTCTTATTGTTTGTTAATAAATATATAATTGTTAGATTATTATTAGAGTAGAATAAAAAAAATACATAATTGTTAGATAATTTCTAAACCTGTCTAATAATAAAATTATAGTAATAAGATGTAGTAATAATATTCTTTTATTTATTTAATACATTTGTAAAACACAACAGATAACAATCAAAAGTGTACATAGTTAATTAAAGTCATACAAGACTTAAGACAAGATTAATATCCTAAAATGTGTGAACACAAAGTGAATGGAGTTTAATTAAAGTTAACAAAATATTGTAAATTTGATAATACTTACTTATAAAATTTTAAATTACTTTTATTCAGGAAATATATACGATATTAGCACCCAAAAGACTGGAATACAGGTAAGTTATAACAGAATTATTAAATTAGATACATAGTAATTTTGTGTGTTTGTTTTATCATATATTTGCAGTTAAAGAAATTTATATATCTGTTTACAATACGTGAAATAAAAATGTAGCTAGATCTTTTTGTGCTTTACATTACATAAGTAATAAATAAAAATTTCTGAACGGATTTTCATAAGATTTGGACCAGCAATAACTGAGCTCCTGGTACAACATAATTATATAGGATAGTTTATACTATGATTTTTTGTTTTTCTTGAAGAATTAAAAATTCACCGAACTAACGACATCGCCAACAAAACAATGCAGTATAGTTACGAACAGTTACAATGCAGTACACTTTAACCATTTAACTTTCTTTTTTTAAGGATAATTCTACTGAAAGTATCGAGAAGATAAAAATAAATATAAAAGTATATTATGAGACCCATTGTCCAGCCAGCGTGACTTTCTTCAGGACTCAACTTCGACCTGTTGTGGAGAAATTAGGCTCGTATTTAGACGTTCATCTAATTCCATATGGACATGCCAGGGTTAGATATTTTTTTTATACTAAACTTATGAAGTAACCAATAATACATATAGAATATGTTTACCCCAAGGTAAACATATCTATGCGTGTACGTGCATAGTATTCGTTGTGAATTCTGAGGAGAAATGTAGGCTCCAGAAGTGTTTAAGAGATTTCTATATTTATTTGTATTTGTAATATAAATCAATTTAGTTCCACAATAACACCTATTAATTTGATTATTTACGATTTAATTTGATTACTTATGAATATATACATTGTTCTGGATTATGTTAGCATGTTGTTTGCTATGTTCACCACAACGGCAACACACAGCAAATGCCTTTGACTATCCTGTTAGAAATTATAGTCGGAGAATATTTTTTATTTTTATGTTCTTCATAATTAACGATCAAATTTTTTGTTATGTACTTTGTAACGTATCGTCGTTATGTACTTTGTAGCGTAGACCTAGCGTGTAGAGTTGGCCTTATCCTACCTAACGCTACAGGGCTACTTTTTAACGGCGTCCACCGGACGCATAGTCCCGCGATCTTATCAAAACTACGGTATACGTACCTTGCCACCATCAAATTAGTTGACTTACAGAGAAAGTAACTCATCGCTGCCTGCAAACAATTCTCTCTCCATGATGAATCAAGGATCCACTTTTTACTTAAGCTAAATTATTTCACTTCTATTTATAATTTAGAGGGCTGCAATAACAATTAATTTATATGAAATAAATTATTATTTGTTTTTATATATTAATTTATGGGTAAATCATAACATCTACCAACACAAAACCAACAATTAAATAATACCTCGTAATTCTATATATAATTAATAATTATATATAGAATTACGGTTACGAGAATATTTCCTTTTTTAATAATAATGAATAAATTAAAAGCAAACCCGAAACAGCAAATACCAAAATATTCTAAATTTATGTACAAGTACACCTATCCCCCGATTTACACGGTAGATACGTTCCTGAGAAAAACGTGTAAATCGAAAATTAAAAATTTTCAAGTCAAAACCGTGTAAATCGAAAAGCTTGCAGAAAATGCATAATTTTGCTATTTAACAATTGTGATTTTTTTCAATATTTTTAGGTGTACACAGAAATAAAAATAAAAATTTTCATTTGTTCTAATAGTTCTTATTGTAGCTTCGTTCATGTTATATGATTTTGCAACATCTACTACTCTATCTCCCTTTCGTAAGTGATCCAAAATTTCGATTTTAGTTTCTAAAGAAATTACTTTTCTTTTAACTTCTTTCGACATTATAAGCCTATAATTTTTTTTTAAATTTATGTTAATTTATAAAAATCTTAATTATGCACTCACTTGTAATTTACGAATAAGAAAAATTAAATCTTTCTGACACTGTGAAACTTTCACTCAAATATAATTTTCCGTACATAAAACTTTAATTTTATGCGAAGAAATACAGACACAGTGTGCATGTGCAGCAAGTCAGCACATAAGCTCGGGATTCCCCGTGAGATGTGTACACAGCGCACGTGTTCAAACACAGTAGCATTTAGTAGAGTGCAATAAAAACAAAAAAAAAACTTATTTGGAAAACCGTGTAAAAGCGAAAACGTGTAAAACAAGTACCGTGTAAATCGGGGGATAGGTGTAATTTAAATTATTAAATCTGCATAATCATGTAGGAAATTTAATTTTAATGTAGGAGTGTTATCATAAAATTTTTATGGTTGTCATCACGTTATACTCATAATAGAATAATAATAATCGAGAAGTAAATATAGCACTCGTTGAGTTCAGTAGTCGGGTCAAAAGAGATAAATGATCCGCAATATTGACGATATCTGTATTTATCACTGACATTAGTCTAAGAGAAAATTTCTGACTGTCATCGTTTGACCAATTAACTAATTAAATATTTTATTGGTTATAGTTTCGTAAGCATAGAATATATTTTAATTGCAAAAATAATCAGATTGATTTATGGGCTTTTTTAACAAAAATTCTTGACTAGTCTCGGAACTCATCGAGACCATTAATCTATAAAAATAAACATACTAGGTTAATCCGATTATTTTCTCTATTAAAATACAAACACGTTTTACTGCGCAAATTAATAAAACATGATTATCCTGCTAAAACTAACTACTTCATAAAACTTAATATTTAATATAAGTTATATATATTATATTAAATATGAACCTTGAAAAAAATACACTCCTTTATTGGAAAGCCATGTAATAATTAAATATGCAAATCACATTAAAATGTTCTATTACAGACTCTTAAAGTGCGCGGGAGGTACCACTTCAGATGCCAACATGGACCGGAGGAATGTTATGGCAATAAGTTACACGCATGCACCGTGGACGCATTGCAAAATAACACTCGAGCGGTCATGTTTAACGCCTGTCTTATGCAATTTTCTGGATATAGATCTGAAAATAACAACGCATTTATATTAAGTATGGTACGTATCAAGTACAACCGCTACTTATTGCTTCCCTTATGACTGCACTTCTAAAAATAACTACATATATTCTATTAGCGCAAGTGAGGTTACCATTTCCATCCCGTAAAAAGTAACTATACAAGTTTTTCATTATAAATTGAAAATAAGTTTCTTTGTACCAAATTAACTGAGTATGTGAACTTAACTAGCTCAGATATTACCATACCTGGGAAGTAAGCTATTTAACGTTACTTTTTTATACTTAGAATGGTAAGCAGGCTGACGACCCCTCTGACGGAAAGTGGTCTACCGTCGCCTATGGACACAAAGAGAAGTGGACAGAATATACTATTATGTCCATAATATCCCGTATGCGTTGCCTTTTCCAAAGACTACGGATATTGTCTCCGTAGAAATACACTCCGTACCTATTCAGTGAAACAAGAGAAGGACCGAGATGCAGACAACTTGTTTTACAAAGTTTCCCTCTAATGCTAATTTAAATAATTGTATATTCTCTCTTACAGTGCGGGTATATCTTAAATTTACCTATAAACGATATTTCGGAGTGTATTAACAGCGAACGCTCTTCTCTTCTACTGAAAGGATATGGGGAGGAAACTCGTTTGTTAAGACCCAAGTATGTGCCTTATGTAATAATAGAGGATCCCGCCTATGGTCAATTCCAATTAACCAATGATCTCAAGGCAACAGTATGCCGAATTTTTCATCAAGTACCTCCGCCTTGTTCTAGAATTTAGTTTTAGATAAGTTACCTATAATAAAAAGTGTAAATATTTTACATTTACGTGTAAACATTTTAATGTATGTGTAATTATGAATAAATTGTATAATTATCGTTTTTGTTTAAATTTATTTACCTTAAATATAATGAAGATACTTCAAGGTTTTATTTCTCAAATAAAAACTTTAATACAAAACCTAACAATCCTTATATGTTACCAATCTGAGAGCCTAACATTTATGTTAAAAAAATCATTTTGTGATAACACAGATAATATAATACTATTATTAGGTGATATACTAGGTGATTAGTCGTGTGGACCCGGTATAGAATAGGCCACTCCTTCCTTTCCCGTGGGTGTCGTAAGAGACGACTAAGGGAGAGCGTGGGATGGGCAGCAGCGTCCCTCTTGAAACTTCTCCAAAGCCCAACTGCGGTTGCTAACCCACTTGCTGAGCGTGGCAACTACTGGCAAAACCCCCCAAGGGGGAGGCTTATGTTCAGCAGTGGACAGTTGAAGGCTGATATAGTGTACGAGATGATAGCTATCATGGACGTGTACACTACATGTTAACCCTAAATTATATGCTAACATATAGCCAAAATACCAACTATTATTCTGAGGGTATCTATACAAGCCCAACAGTCGTATTCAGGGGTATACACCTGGACACTTTCTCACGGGACACTATAGGGGCTTTCACCCAATTGCAATATTAAGATACAACCAACATCAAATTCGATAACAATATTAAAAGTTTTAAGACTAATTTACTCCTTGGCATATGTATTTATCCACAGCATAAAGTTTTGCCTTGTACTTACGATTTATACCGTATTCAATTTTGGCGCCAGCCCTCTTAAGCTACGTGTGCACGCAATAGTATTTAAGAATTTGAAGAAATTGTTATTCATCAAGTTTTACTGCCGATATTATATCATTTCTTTCACAGTGGTTATTTCTATTATTAGCTCAAGAGAGCGATTTTTTTAAATAGATCTAAATCTACATATTTATAAAGGAATGGTTGTGTTCTTAAAAAATCTCCATCTTTATAGATATTGACATTTTCTTCTTTTTTAGGCAGCCATTATATATATTCTATGTTAAAGCGAATGAAGCGCCTATTTATTCTTTATTAGCTAATATGTAATAATGAAACAGTAGTATCGCCATTATAAAGGCGAACACATATTACTTAAGTAGATGCATTGCACAATACTTTTTACTGAATTTTAATGTATAAACATACTCGTAATTTAGAGAGAGGGGAGAGGAGATTTGTCTATGTCTACTCCAGAATCATCTGGTTGTCACTAGGATACGAGCAAAGCTTCGCAAACCTATGCATGAGAGTACATATGCGTTTTTTTAAGGTTCCGAGACCGCTGGAAAATAATTTTAAATATGCCAATGATTTAAGTTGTAAGAGAAAAAGAATTTGACTTAGATATTTAATTACATATTATTATTTATTAAGAATACTTCGAAAACATCTGGGAATCTTAAATCACCATGAATAAATACGGACATTTATTCTTACAGGTGTACAGAACAAACTCAATGCTCAATGGTGTGCCTTGGGAAAAGGCTATGACCAGCGATGGACTATAGCAGGCTGATTATGATGATGACGATAGAATAAACTTATAAAATCAAAACGTACATATTTACGCCACTAAAAAATAAGAAAAAGATGTCACGTATTTAACTTGGATAACTACTTACTAATATTATTAATTCTTTACTATGTTTAATCTTTTTCCGCTTTTTGTGTGACTTCCTTTATATACAGCTAAGGAATGAAAAATAATTTAAATGTTTTCGTGTTTCCAGAATTCATGGGGGACGATACCTACCTACTTTTGATCCCATTAGATCGCCCGTCAGCACGGCTGCCTCTCTAGCAATAATAAATATACTATTTACTAAATAGATACTAAATGGAACGATAAGTTATAAATGACCACACAGAAACTAAATGAATAAAAGAATACATAATAAGGTCCGAGAGAGGTGGAGGTATGCAGTGGTTATGCACTGATGAATCACAAGGCAAATATTCGAAATATTCATTTCTTGTGACTAAGAGCATATTGTAGCCATACCCTATAAAAAGTTACATTTAAAACGTGTAACGATAAAATTTATAATCGAAAAGGTTGTTAAATTAAAGAAAGGGTTTATTCTGGTAATAAAAATAAAGAGAAATAAATAAAGTTTGATTGTCATTGGAGTTTATGAAAATTACATTATTCAAACGAACGGTAGGTATTGACTTTAACTTATGTATTCTGAAGTTAATTCCGTGATTCCGAAGTGGATCAAACTAATTAATACTCAGAACGTTGTCTAAACACTGTACAAATCTGGAAGTCATTTATTTGTGCTAGATTAAAAAATATATTATTAATATATATGTAAATAATAATATGTCTCTCTATTGGTCTATCTTTTAGTGTGCGCATTATTTAAAAAACGGCTTATTTTTACATTTTTAAATTTATAGATAGATTAATCATTTACAACTTATAGATATTACAGATGAAGTAAGATTTTATCAATAATATGTAAACTATAAAATATATGGAAATTATGCAATATGATTGGTAACAAGTTCATATATGTAAACATTCACAACAAAAACGAATACAAATATATAAAAATATATATAATAATAAATACATAAAGAAGGGTATTAATTTTTACTTAAAATATATAAATACGTTTATAAATCAGACCAACAATTAAAATCGTCAAATATTTAATAACTAATATGTGCTGAGGTTTTATATTTTTTCATAGACTTTAAAGCCTTAAAAAGCAAAGGCTTTCCGTTTCACATGGAACTCGTAAGCGTTGACTTTGACAGACCATCCGTGAATAAAAATACTGCCTACTTATAAGAGTGGCACACATAGTTGGCTATACATAACATACATTGCGGATAAACTGAAATGGTAACATGAGTTTTATAAATTGTACTGATACACATAATAATAAACACAAAATGACAAGGTTTTTGATTTACTTACATAATTAGCATGAATTTAGATAGAAAGTATAAGGATTTAATATTAAAGTCAATTAGTTGCATTCAATTCGATTAAAATTTTAAGCATATTTTATATCCAAACCTATATAACATACATTCCACATAAATAAATTATCTCTAACAATTTACATTTATAATACTAATATAATAAATCGTACTAAATCATACTTGTTGCGTGATCCTATGTTTCGATATTTGTTATTCAATCGTGCTTAAATGACTGAATGAATTTAAATAATATTTTGTACTCAGATGGCAGTGTGTCTAAACATAAATAAATAAATGTTTATAATATTTCATCTATGGATTTAAGATTTCATCGTTTATCAAGTATGAAGTTTGGAATACAAAAACATATTAATGTTGTGGATAAGTTTATTCAATGCCTATATATGTGTAGACCAATTTCTCATGTAAAACTTAAAAACTAATTCAAAAATAGCCCCGATCTTGCTGCCCGAATCTTGCGATCATCATCACAGAATATCTAATAATATTATAAAAACTATAAAAGGATATTGTGCTAAAAATATTCTAAGTATTATTCCCAGTAATAGCGTTTAAGTAACTAATATAATGTAACTAGTATAGCCCGGTAGGGCCTAAATTCCGATATACTCATATACTACACAGTTGTTGAACCTACCGTCTTATACGCAGCCAGTGCCTGGGCTCACGTAGCTGAAAAAAGATTTGTTGAAACTGTTTATTAGATAGAATTACTAGGCTATTTGCTATCAAAATCATAAGCCTGTGAGGAAGAAATTTAGAAACATGGATACCCTTTGATACATTAATTACCTTATCCAGCTATGAGAACCGAATTAACCTATAAAACAATAGATAGTCAAGAGGAACACTGTAATAGATAATAGTTGGTCCAAACTATTTACTGACGGTAGCACAATTCAGGATAAAGTTGGTAGATATAAAGGTTGTCGCATTAAAACATCCCGACAGATGCAACAGCTGAAATAAAAAATAAATAAAGAAACTAATATCAGTCATTTGGGTAAAAAAGATACAAATATTCAAATATCTATACAAACTTATAAGTAAACTTTTACCTTTATAATATTAGAGATAAGTTTACCTATGCTTTTTTATTACTAATTTGTTATTATTACTGTATGTTTTAATGAAATAAAGAGTATATATATATTAGTAGAGTATTTATATATCAATGTGTTGAAACATAAATGTCTTATACTATTTTTAGTACTAAGCATGATATATCAGAAAGTACACTATATCTGGTAAAAAGTAATAATTATTGCCTACATGTACATGCACTTCACTTACCTGCTACTCAATACAGACATGGGCATCACATTCCAGTACCATCAAATACTGCTACTCCTAAGGAGTCCTTAGAGCGAGAATTATCAAACTAAATAACAGAATTTTATAATTTATTTCCATTATAGAACAGTAACTTACTATTGCCACGCTGACCAAACAAGACTAGGGTTTTATTTAGAATTTTCCTTCTAGACTTTACTTAGAGGACTTTCCTTCTCTTGCACTAATGTGGGGTAGGTATTTTGTTCCTTAATCATCTCTTATGACCTCTAGTAGGTACTCATACTCACATATATCTAGAAGCCCCACTACCAGTCAAAATATATTCTCCTCTGAGAGAGATCTGATACTATCACATATTTTTGATAACTTAAACTACCAATTAACTGGCTTTTACCCACGACTTTGACCGCGTGACCGAGGTATACATAATTATATTAATTGATCGAGATAAAAAGTAACCTATGTCCTTCCCCATCTCAAAGGTAAATGTATTTAACTACTTAAATATAAATGACGATTCATTGAGCTGTTATAGAGCCAAGAGGTAATAAACAAAAAAAAGCGTTTAGGTACAGCTGCACTTGACTACTATTGGCGCAATAAATTTTGGATTTAAACCCAATTGTGTAATTCCAATAGTCTCAAAACCTGAAAATAATTTATACCAAGGAGTTTATACCCTAATCGTACCATGAAAATTACAATGATAAATTTAACAATTATTGCCTTAGCTGATTTATTTGTAATAGCTGTCGAGTATACTATGTTGTTCTTAATTGAGCTATTCAGGATACTACTACATTATATATTGTGTACGTTATAGTTGTAATTGTTATGACAATGTGTTGATATAATAAGTAAATATTTCCTTCTTTAATTCTTTAGATATATATATATATATATATATATATATATATATATATATATATATATATATATATATATATATATATATATATATATATATATATATATATATTATACAGTAATTGCCGGTTATAACAAATATGGTAAATCGTTTGCAATTAATATAGTATATTTTTAGAGCTTAGAATAGCTACAATGCTTGTGAATAGGACTCCATTTTCCGCGCTTAGCCTCTAATTTGGGCCGTTGTGCGTATGAGCTACAATGCTTTATTGTTTTTGGTTTATAAGAGACGGGAATTAACTCGATCATTTAGGTAAACTATGATTATTCACCTGAGTTATTTCGATATTTTCGACAAGGTTACACCGACCACGAGTAGACTGATGTAGTGCGATCACGCCTCCGTTTCTGAAGCAGAAATTTTTTCTTCTACCCTCATTACCTCCCATCACACAAATTATGTTACAAACGTCGAGATTACTCTACCCGAGTTATCATTCAATATATATATCAATTATGATAGTAGTCATATATATCAATTAGATAGTATTAGCTAAATGATCACGTTTATTCCCGTCCATTATAAACTATAAACCATGCGATGCGAAAGTCTAAAGTTAATATTGCTTTATTGTCCATATAGCATAGAAAAAAGAATACGTACACAAGCATCGCTTGTTTGTTAGTAGTGTGTTTATTCTAGCATATATAACACAGCATATTTAATGTCTTATCTTCTGGACTATGCACATTGCGTGTTATTTTCTAACTACTTTAATGCTGTTGGCCACAGATGGCTCTTACATGAACGTGTGTAAGGGTGATTGTTGAAGACACTCCAAGCCCGTAAAGAGGAGCTACAGGAGGTCAACTCCAGCTCGATAGATTACAACGTATTCCTAAGGATGCCTTTCCGGTTATACCTTCAAAATATAATCAACTAGAGTTGCACTGCGTCTAACAAATCCTTTGTAAATATTATAGAGAATTTAGTTGTCTGGAGATAAATCAAAATGCCTTTTTTATTTTCTCTTACGATTGCTTAAAGCTGGAGACTGAGGCACTTGATGGAATTTGAAGTTCATCTTTGTATGCTCACGTCGGCATTTTCTAATAGGTTTGTCACAGGCATTCGTCGACTATTGAATACACCTACGTGCTATACGTCATTCAATATGTCCGTATTTCTCCGAATAATTCACGATGGTAAATTTAATAAAAAAAAATTATTAATATAATAAAAGTTATTAATACAATTATAAAATAATGTAAAATGTGTAAAATATTATAAAATTGAAATTGATGATGATTATCTAACTAACTAACTAACTCTGACGACGTATAAATATATTCATTCAAAACCTTAAAAAATGAAAAATTAATACATATTTAACATATACTATGTTTAATACAAAAATTACACACACGTAATTTAATCCGAATATTTTTATAATTAAAAAAAAAACAGACAATAATCAATTTTTCGATAAAAAATGTTTTCTATTATTATTAAAATGAAAAGCTTTTGTGGCCAGAAAATCGTGTTCATTTATAACACAATAGCATTATAATCATAATAACAGTTTTACGTCATACCTACTGCGGTGTACTCATTGACATGAAGGTCTCTGGCTATTCACTAGTTCAGGTTATAAAGCCTCATTACAGCAGAAAGCCTTGACTTCTCGATTGAAATTGGACACTGCCACCGCAAAAAGTCAGGTGGGTACGTATGTACTACCTACAAACACAGATTGAAACATAATATCTAGACATTACAAATAAGTAGTTAATTGTTATGAGATAATAAATATAGATAAAATCAAAATTATTATGATTCTTTTAAGGGAGTGCTTTAGATATCCTTCAAATATTATAAACTAGCTGGACCCCGCGGCCTCACCTGCGTGAATTAGTATATAATATAAAGTACCTTAGGTTCTAAGATATAACTTATCGGTGTATTTCATTAAAATCTGTCCATTAGTTTTTGCGCAATAGTAAAGTTGTGAAAGTTTGTAGACGTTTAGATTTTTATATACTGTATCACGCTTAAACGGCTGTATACACTTGAATAAAATTTAGTACATGGATAGGTTATACCCTAACTTAACGCACAGTATATATACTTTATATTCTAATTATGGGAGCAAAGCTGCGGGAAGCAGCTAATGAAACAATATTTTTCCCAACGAAAAACGGGTTAAATAACGACGAACAATTTTGAGTAACACATACTAACTTGCTAATTGGATACACCGTCTTCGTAATATACCGAGTGCATTTTTTTTTGTCATTTATAGACTTATATTTCTTTAGTAAAAAATTCACATAGTTAATTTATTTTTTCAAAAGGCCAATGATTTCAATTTTACACTATATAATAAGAAATAAAACACGAGGCATACCTAAAAAAAGATACTATTTTATAGTTTTACAGATACAAGCAGCTTATAGGTATTGTATGAATTATTATTAAGAACTATGGTATGGTAAAATTAATACTAGTAAGTGTGTATAAATGTATATATTAGTACTTTATTTATTAATAGGGATCATACCTATAATGCTATTCTACATACATATAAACCTTGATAGAACTGTGTGAAAGAAAGTTAAAGATATTTAGGTAAGTAAATGATTCTTACTCAACTTACTAATTGAACTGTTATGCATAAAATATACATATTACATAAGTATATAGAATATAAATAGAGATACGAATATATAAATTTTTTTTAAAGCGGGCGAAGTCACGGATTAATTTGATGGAGCAAATAATTATCTATACCTATCTCATATTTTGTTGCTCTGTCTTATTAGAACAATACTGTGAACGAATATTCGGATATTACATGAAACAACACATAAACATTAATTCTACATTCTAACCGAGAATGCAACCGTGAATGCTTTAATATATAGAGCAACATTTATATCTACTTCGCTACAGAGTTTGTTAGTGTATTGTGATTAGATATCAATTGTTTATCATATACTAAAGCAATTTATCATAATAATACTTTATCTTTCAATGTACATATAATATCTTCTATAATATCTACTTTTTATTTTTTATACCACAGAGATTGAAAACCGCATTCGGCACGTCAGATGGTTACCATAGTCTACTGACACATGCAATACAGTATTATATTATCTGTGGCAATACTAGAAGTTTCCGATCGTGTAAAAATCATTTTATATCCTTTTTAAAGAATTTTATAATGAAATGAATGTTTGTTTGTGCTTTTTTAGAGCCTTAACTATTCATCTAATCGCTATGAAATTTGGGATCCATTTAATATTGAACATGGAAAAGGTCTTTCATCCCGGTCAGTCAACATGTTCCTATGGGATTATAAAAATAAATGTATGCCATATGAAAATACCTTTCTCTACTTAAATTTCATGAAGATGATACTGTTTTTATGTGACAATATTTTTTATATTTTGTTAATTGACAAGAAAATATGTCAACAAATTTTGTGCATGTTTGATGGAATATACCCAACAAAGAATCGAGGCATTTTTATGAATGAAAATGGATTGGAGTATACCTACCTACAAATGCTAACGATACCAAGCATATTTTAATACTACATGTCAAAATACATATGTTCCATAGATTGTATAAATACCTGGTAAGTAACAAAACAATAAGTACAAATTACGGAAAATAGCTATATATCTATATATGTATATTATAAAACATAATCGCATTAATACGTCTTAATTCACAATAGTTGTCAATCAGGAAAACAACTCTAGGTACTTCATTGTACCTTGATAAACAACATGCGTGATCGTTACCATGTACTTATTTAAACACACGCAATGCAACAGTTTACATTCTATACATAATTACCATTAAAAACCTTTCATAAAACAACTTTTATTTTTATAGGTTTTATAATAAGTAATAACTGTTCAAATGCATCAGAAAGTAACTGCCAAGGACTATATAAATAATAAATATATAAAATAAATTAGCAGAATCAAATATTCAATAATAAAATTATTATTTGGTAAATAGTATTAATGCTTAGTTTTACCCGCACAAAAGCTCCTTTTCCCCGTTCCCATAGGAATTACCGAAATCCCTTTCTTGTTTGAAGATTTTATTCCGTTAGAATTCATGATTAGCCAGTGAGTAATAAATATTTCACTACACACTATAGTAATATGTAACCTGTATTACATGCTTTAAAAGTAGATAACTAAGTATTTACATCAGCGATATAATTTACTGCAATATTGACGAATGACACGAACGCTTGCGCAGAGTGAGACTGAGGCAAGGCCAAGGTTTTGTTATGTAAACTATGGTCTGTCTATGCTTTGGTACTATATGAGGACGACTAGTGCTAATCGCCGCGTTAATGTACCTCTAACAATACCATCAACAACACCCACTCTAATAAACGTTCGAAGGATGTGAATGCATTTGTTTTGTACTATAGATGTCACGTATATACGCATACGATACATATGTTTTCTACCTACTCACTTACATGTTCTTTTGTAATATATAGACTTACTTGGTAATGCTCTTAATAATAAAAATAAGATTTTTTTATGAAAAATGAAATGGTAAACAAGCTGATAAAAATTCCACTTGATAAAAAGTGGTAATAATCACCTACGAACATCATTGAATACGCTATGATAGCCATGGTTGCCATTCCTGAAGACCAATATCCGTACCTGAACAATATAACTGCCTAGTTCTATCGTTCAATCCAAAACAACATGCAAGCAGCAGCAGCTGCTTCTCGGCAAAATCACGAATTCAGATATCGAAGAAGATGACTTTTGTATATCACCCTCATATGTTTTTTTTTTTTTTGATGGGTGAAAATGTTATAGTAACACCGCCTGCGCTAACGAGATACGCTGGCGGAGCACCAGTGAAGGGTGATAGATGAAAATATGCCCATTTGTTCGTAGAATTAACCATGATATTACTGGTTGGGTATATAAAAAAAATGTTTGTTTAGTAAAATTTAAAAAAAATGAAAAAATAAATAGTTGAGTAATATTTAATCTACATTTCCAAATCGTTGTCTGGGCATTAAAATAATCAACATTAAACTCCCAAGGACCGGTAGATTAATTGCCTGATGTTTTCGATTAGAGCAAACAAAAACGAATCGTAATATATTGTGTGTACGTATGGCATGTTCTTCTTTTTTGAACTTAGAATTCGAAAACAAAAGAATATTTTCAGATTGGTCGAATAGTTTTATTGTATCGTCTATTCAAAGGTGACAAGTCGGTTGTAATAATAATCGAAAATATCTAAGAAAAATTTGTGTGCGATAATTTTCTACAACTTTGACTACAACAAAAGTTGATTTCTCGTTAGATACCATATGTGCTTAGCGACGACCAAAAAATAGCCCGTGTTAGTTGGTGACGCAAAACTCTGCAGAGAGTCAAAGCATGTTTATGATATGATTAGTGGTGGCGAGTCTTGGATATATGCTTATGATCCAGATTCTAAGCAGCAATCAACTGTCTGAGTTTTCCAGGATGAGCCAAAACCGACCAAAGTCATACGCTCACAGAGCACTGCGAAAAAAATGGTTGCCGCGTTTGTGGCAAAAGGTGGTATTAGAAGATTGCAAGACGGTTACGGCTGACTGGTATACTACTGTTTGTTTGCCACAAGTCATGACCGAACTTCGAAAAAACAATTCAAGACGTCGTATAATGCTGCACCATGACAATGCAAGTTCGCACACTGCCCACGTTTCAAGTACGTTTCAAGTCAACGTTTCAGCTCACCCAAAGAAACATTTTGATTACCCCCACTTCGGAGTGGAATAAATGTTTGAAAACTGGTTTAAACGCATGCAAAAGTAAATTAAATATCGCGGAGGATTCTTTGAAAAACAATAAATAGTAATAATCTATTAGATTGTCTCTACTTAATTCAAATGACACAACTTAAAAGGCAGCCCTCATATAAACGTAGTGAAAGTTGGAAATTTGTAGATTAATCATTGATAAAAATGGTCATAAAACTGATACTGAATGTTTGAAGTTTCATATATACCGATAATAACAGAACTAAACAAATAATACCAATTTACTTATAGCCAATGAGAGAACTTCCTCACAATAAAACCTAATTAAATTAAATATATTAATAAGTACTTTTACCAACTGTTCAACTTTCTCTGAAGTTTTAAATATCTTCAGCCATTTTCAACAAAGCTCTTTCATATCTACTTTCGACTGGTCAAGTCAATTTAGAAAGTGATTCATCTATTTGCTTTATAGCTAGATATCATTCTTAAAGAACCACTATTGTGGTGCAATCACTAATCATGCAATCAAAGACTCATCCATACTTAGTACACACACACACACACACTAAATTTATTGATAAGTCCAGTCTAGGCAGATAAAATAAAAAAAAAACTAAAGCTACAATATTATCATATCTCAATTATTATCATATTTCAATATCAGTATTAGATAATGTTAATAAAATATTGGCAACCTAATAAAATCTTTATGTCCTTATTATTTTATAACTTTCAAGAAGGTATTTGGATACTCTCCTTATATTGAATATAATATTAATGAATAAATTAGTTTATAAATACACATTTTTGGTAAAAATCTATCATAGATAGCATCAAGCCTATCAAATGTTTGAATGGTATCACTAAAACTTTTTCTTTTACATTTGACTTAGGGGTGCAAGTTTTCCGAACGGTTCAGTTGTTGCGTAGTCGATACACGCGTGTTTATTATTAACCATCGCTTTCTACCGTATTGTCACTTATATAAGCGAGAATGAGACAAGACGATCAAGAAAACTCTATTGGAAAATAAGGGGTGGAAAATGTAATGTCTTCGGTGCTTGTGCACTTGGCAAGTTGCCTAGAAATCACGCCAACAGCTACATGACGCTCAGACAAATAATAATATGATTACATTAAATTTGAGAACTAATTAAACGTCAATGACATTGACAACATTGTTAGAAAACAATGTTGTCAATGTCTAATAAAAGGTTGCAGACAAATTTATTAAATAGTAATTTAATAAAATTGTCTGCAACCTTTTATCATTATTATTAATTATTAATTGTCCTGTACTTAACGTAGGCCTTCTTTATTGTCAAACATAATGTACGAGTCTCCTGCAATTACTGTATCTCTGCAACACTATTGAGGAGTAATCATAACTGCATTTATTTAACTATCGTTTTACCTATTTTGATTATACTCTCTAATTGCTATCAATTATTATTTTATTTTATTAAAATAAAGCTTATTTTAATATAACTTATTATATTATAAATACTAATTATATTATTTTAATAAGTGCGATAATATAGCTTTCGTGATTTGTTTCATTTACCGAAGTGATTGTTTTGAAAGTGTTAAAAATTGATAAAAATCTGTTACTATCAAATTTTATTATATAAATACGTTGCACGTTACGAGTCCAGTTTTCCAAACAATATAAGCACCATTGAGTAATAAAGACCAAATATTCACCAGTTTCCGACTGATATCAAAATTAGGGAAATTGAAAGAAATTATTACAAAAAATAAAAAAAATATATATATAAGAACATTCTTTACCATTTATATTTAAATACAAAACACATATACCTACATACTACTACAAAATGTACCTACTTAACTTACAAATTGTTGTGAAATTGAAACTATCAAAAAAGTATGTAAAATTATATGCTTATTATTGGTTGTGTAACTAAACCTGCCAAAACATACGTAAATTTATAAACCAATTAATTGTTGAGCAACACTTTATAAATATGTAATTTCTGGCCTTATCGGTAAAGTAAGTACACGTCGTGATCAAGTACTTAAAAATAAATTCTTTCACCAATTCATACAATTGAAAAAAAAAATCAATTCACTAAACAATTTACAAAAATATTGGATCACCGAATATTGAGAATCTGGGTCGGACGTTTAAAGGTCACTTTTCATTAACGCTGCTATCACTCTATGATGATTTAATTGAGGTT